ATAAGTTGCCAGAACTTCATTTAAACTTGAACACAAAGAACAGAAAACAAAGCTGAGCTCTTATAACAGCAATTCCAAGAAAATGTTTAAAAAAATGTTTTTGTCTTTCTCACTTTTTCCTGTGGAGATTAAATTTCCTTTAACAACAGAGGAAACAAGATACTATCTATCATTCATGCACTGTGGCTTCCAGAACAATTATAATGTAACATGTGTTTGGAACTTGAATTTTAACACAACCCAGCCATCTCAAATGCAGGAAAAAATACAAACAGTGACAACCAACATCTGTTACCTACCTGCATGAAGTACTCTCTTTATGTGATTTCACAGCTACAAGAATAGGGGCAGGAGGCAATCTCTTTAAGAAAGATTCAGCCCAGTCAGAATCCAAGTATTCACTGCCGACCTATTGCTGTGTATACTAAGTTATACTTTCATTTAGGAATCAAGTATATTTTTTAAAAAAATTTATACATAGTGAATGCATAAGAAAACAGAAGAAATCCAAATAGAAGGCAATTGATATGGAGAACAAAGATAAGACAATATAAGAACAATTGGCATCTGAAGTAGACAATTATAAAATGGAAAATAAAAATCATTTATAAGGGGAAATGTTCTTAAGAGCTTATTCCAATAGAAATAATATACCAGGTTCCATAGGAAGTCGCATAGTGTTTAATGATGACGTATCCTAGTTAAGTTTACCAAACTTCAAGCAGAAAAAGCAAGCTGACTGTGTGGGGGAAAATTCTGAGGCCAACCTTGGACTCCTTCACAGACCCATTAGACGCCAGAAGATAATGGAGCACGGGCTATGTAATGTGAGGCGAGGAAATTAGGGATCCAGATGTTACAACCTGCCAAACAGCAACTTAAGTGCAGGAATGAAAGGTGGACATTTCAAACATAAAACACACAGGAAATGAGCCCTTCCTGGAAACAAACACATGGTGTCAAAATCTAGCTAACCAGAGGAAAGGTCCATATGTTTATGTTTACACTGGAGATGCTAGGTAAAAGGACCAGCGATTGACCACAATTCTGCTTAGTTATAAAACTAAGTCTAAATAATATCCACAAAGAGGGTTTCAAGGTGCAGGGCAGATGTTCTGAACCCTCACAACATGAAAACAGATATATGAAAGGAATGGGAAAAGAAGTGAAACTACAGAAACCTTGGTCTCAGAATGCCATTGCTTCATCTTCTATAGCAGGAAGCCACTAACTATCTAAACTAATAAATATTTTAAAGATCTGACCTCAAGATATATTGAGAATCTTTTAATTTGGAAGACCTACTTAAGACTTGCTCTCTCTCAAGATGAAGAACTACGAATGTTAAGTTCAGCAATTCCTTCACTTTTATTATAGTTTCTTGTACATCTGTTAAAATATCATAAAAATTTTCACTAAATAAACATCTCTGGTATTATCCAATTAATGGAAAAATTTTAGACAAATCAAATTTAACAGAGCTTATTTGAGCAAAGAATGGTTCATGAATCAGGCAGCACTCAAAGCCAGAAGTTCAGAGAGCTCTGCCTGGCTGCCTGAGGAGTGAGATCTTACAAGCTGAACACCAAAGCAGAGGAATGACTTGATTGACTTAGCCAGGCCTCTGCCTTATTTGAGCAAGGTGTAATAAATTGGCTGTCTGTGATTGGCTGAAGCTTGGCTTATAGTGATTGGCTGATAACTGGCTATGTATCTTTAAAATAAATCTTATATTTTGATTTGTTTACAAATAGAGGGTGCAGTTTGTTACCTGGGAACTCAAAGTAGGGAGAGAGCATCTGGCTGATGTCCTCCTGCTCTGCGTTTAAATGTACAACCTTATTATTTATAAATGATTTCTATCTTCTATCAATAAGATCCTATTTTTAGAAATGCCTAGAAAGATAAATGGATTTTTTTTTTTTTTTTGGACAAGCAGAGTTAGACAGAGAGAAAGGTCTTCCTTCCATTGGTTCACCCCATAAATGGCTGCCACGGCCAGTGCTGCGCCGATCCGAAGCCAGGAGCCAGGTGCTTCCTCCTGGTCTCCCATATGGGTGCAGGGCCCAAGCACTTGGGCCATCCTCCACTGCCTTCCAGGGCCACAGCAGAGAGCTGGACTGGAAGAGGAACAACCGGGACAGAATCCGGCGCCCTGACCGGGACTAGAACCTGGAGTGCCGGCACCACAGGCAGAGGATTAGCCTAGTGAGCCGTGGTGCCGGCTGAATGGTTTTAACTTAATGTTAAAGAGGAATATTTCTGGATGCTAGAACACCATTTTTACTTTTTTTATATATCTGTACTGTTTATATTCTTTTTAGTGACTTTTATAGAAAACAATGTTATTTTATATTCATTCAAAACTTTCAATATACAACTGTGAAATAATATAATAAAAATCCACAAATCCATCAACCAGAATGAACAAATATCAACATTGTCATATTTTCTTTAGATCTTTTCATGATAAAGAGAAATGCCACAAAAAAATGGAAGATCACCATGGATTGTTCTCCTCTGCCCTGCTCTGTCTACCCATTATCTATACATAATTTATCTTTAACCATATTTAAATATTCATTAATCCAAAAAACTACAGTTTAAAATGAAATGCAGGATTAGGCATATGTTTTTAATTTTTTCCTGATGCATAATTTTAAACATAAACAAAAACAGAGAACATAGTATACAATAAATCCCCTAATACTCATTACCCAGATTCAACAATTATCAAGATTTTGCCACATATATTTTTTGAAATTAAATGCAAAAACTATAAAGTGATGTTTAGCCTACTATTTGTTCAGTCAATAAGCAAATGCCTTCAAAGACAGGGGGAACCAGGATTAGCTGAACTCTCCCTGTATTCAGGCATCACACTGACCCATTTAGGTGTCACAGAAACTCAGCAACCTAAATATAATCAGTATCATTCAGAGTGCAAAATGAGGCTCAGGGAGGTGGGGATTCTTCTGGCAGCTAAGCCGACTGCCCGTCATCCTACCACTACCCCACATTCTCTTCCTTGATGACCCACCCTGGCCAATTTCAGAATGTGAGACAGTCACGGGAGGCTGTAATTCTGCTACACACACACGCTGAGATGATCTCACTTGAGATCCGTGTGAATTAATACCTGTATCTCTTGGGATTGGAGGAGTACCCAGAATTGTCATAGGTAATTTAAATCAGCACCTTTGGGTCATTTATTTATTTTAGAAAGTCCTTTTGTAAGTTTCACTTTAAGACCTTTTCCTAGAACTATTTAGAAAAAAGGGAGAAACATTTCCGCTTAAAAAAAAAAATCTAACCAATGATTCAATATACTCATCTTTTATTAACTGGTGAGAACTTTGTATTCCAATGACCACCATTGCAAAAAAAAAAAAAAAACAAAAAACAAAAAAAAACTCAATTCAATTTGTAGGCTTGCAAATCTGTCATGGGTATTTTCCAAAGCAGTTTTGAAATTTCTTGCCTGCCATGTTGTTTTGGTATACTCATACTCTGTAGCAAACGCTTCCTAGCATTCTTGATCTTTCCAGGAGACTTTCAAAATAAACAGGCATGAGAGCTCTACTGTGTCAACCCTAGCAGTCAATTTTGCTGTAAGAAGTATGGGATTCTGGTTTCCCATGGCATTTTTATTTAATAGCAGAGAATGTAACCATTTAGAAGCACAGACTACACAATGATTCAGCTATTTTGAGACTGATAGGATTAAAGAAACTCAGCTATCAAATGTCTCCCTTTGAAACATCTAGAATGTCAAGGGCAGATCCTATGTTTCTTTGGACTTCAACTCATGTGTTTCCACAACTCCTGAAGATACAAGCACGGACTTTTCAGGATAGGAAAGAAAAAAAAAAAAAAAAAACCACAAGGATCACCTGGGATCTGAGATGAGCCAGATCTCTCTATTTTGCAAATGTGGAAACTGAGATCCGGTTTTTGTTTGAATTTTCTGTTCCATGTAGTTCTTAATTGGTTTCTACGCCAGAAAGAACAAGTAACCAAGTTACTATACTCTCACATGATGAATATTTTCATGCAACAGTCCCGAGAATTAAAAACAGGAGAGCAAACAGCCACTAAACATAAATTGAAGTGGCAGCAATAGTTTCTTAAGGCCATATTAAAATCCAATTGTAATTTGCAAGTTTGCAAATTCAAAATACCGAAGTATTGGAGTCCAGGAAAAGTCAGGAAAGAAGGAAGTAAATCGAAACATGTTCAAAAGTGGGCTTGTAATTCTACTTTTCCGTTTATTTACAAACAGAGTCCTTCGTTTTTGCCAAATGTCTGCTGGCTAAAACAGTTTTTGCCCTAGCTGTATTTAGATTCGGTGTCTTCCTTTAAACCTCTCCTAAAATACAGATCATCAAAAACAATACCACTTCAACCGACCTGGGCGATAGGCTAATTTAGCGATTTACAAATCTCTTTAAAAAGATTTTATTTATTTATTTATTTTTATTTTTTGACAGGGGATCCCCAAACGGAGAAAACGGGTCTCCGTGACCTTTGATGAAGAGCTTTTCGGTGCGCCAACGCCTCCTCCCTGGTCAGACAGCAAAGGGCCTGACTGGGGTCAGGGTTTTCACAAACCCCAGTTGGGCGCTAGGGTGGGGACCTGCGCCCCTCAGACCCGCGTTTCTCCCTTGCACTTCTGCTCTCCTGTTTGGGGGCTGCGAGGTGCCCGGAGCAAGACAGGGACCTGTGGGCGACCCGGGAGGCAGATTCTCCGGGAAGTCTCTCGGGCTCCCTAGCTGACCTGCGAGCCGCGTCGCCCACCCCGAGCGGCGCGGGCAGCGAGCGAAAGCCGGGCGGCTGCAAAGCACCGGCGCCCGGGGGTCGCGGCCTCGCAAGCCCCCACCCCGGGGCGGGGCCCGGGCACCAGCCGCGCCCGCCAAGTTGCCCCGCGCCACCGCCAGGTGCGAGGGCGCGCACAGCTGCGGAAGGCGGCGGCCGCGGCGACCCCGCGCTCCTCTCCTTACCTTTCCTCCCCGGCGCTGCGCCGAGCTCCGGCCATGCGCCCGCAGAAGTTTCCCACTCGCGTGCGCCGGCCCCGGCTGGCCGGCGCGGAAGCCCCAGCGCCCGGGCAAGCGGCGTGACCGCAGCCGGCTTCGGAGCGGCGCGGCTGCGCGGGCGGGGGCCGGGCACGGGCGCGCGCCCCAGGGCCCGGCGGAGGCGGGCGGGGGCGGTGGCCGCGCCTCGCTCTGCCCGAGCAACCCCAGCCCCAGAGAGCGGGCGGCGTGGCCGCCGGGGCGCAGGCCTGCTGGGAGTCCCGGAGGCCACTGCGGACCAAAGTTTCCAAAGACGCGCTTCCCGTCGTGTGCTCTGCTAAACGGTAAGCCCAGTGTAGGCTGTGGTGCCAGGCAGAGAGCGACGCGGCCGAGTAGTGCGGTGCGCAACACCTGCGTGCCCTTCCAGCTCCTGCTCCACGCGCTAACCGCAAAGCCAAGAGACGAAGGCCCGGAGGGCAGTGGGAATTTTCAGGTGTGTCGCACCCAGAAAGGTTAATGTCTTTATTCGAATCATTTGACGTCTCAAGAAACAAGTGGGTAAGGGGCATAGGCAATCATGAAAAAGGAAAAAAAGTTTAGAAAGCTGCAGTCAGTAATAAGGACATGTATGCAATATATAGCAGTAATCAAGCGTGTATTTTCTTCCTGTGAAATTAGCAGAGTTTTGATTTCGTGATCAAACAGAGTGGTGATGGGTGAGGGACCAGTGAGGAACAGGGTTTACTCAAGGATTTCATCTCCTTTCTCGTTCCCTTTCGTTTTATGTGACCATGTTGGTAAGAGTGATTCCAATAGCAAACACTTACTGAGTAATGAATGGCTCTTAAGCCCCGAATAACCAAAAAGCAAAGGATACTGATGGTAAAATTAACCCCCTTTAATTGAGACTGGAACTAAGGGTCAAAAATCCTCACACCCTTAACCCCATAAATGGCTGAAACCACTGGACTCCCTGGCCTTTGCTGTAACTCTTCATTCCAAGGATTTGCTCAGATGTTAGGAAGCCAGCTGAACTGGATCTAGTCCGTGGCAAATACATACACATTTGAAATATGGGTAGGGAAGTGAGAAGCCCACAAGCTTTGATGCCAGTTGTACTCCATTTTACGTTTAGATTTTAGTCTTTAAACATTTTTGAATGTAATTGTTTTTTAATTTATTTGAGAGAAAGACAGACACGCTTCCATCCCCTGGTTCCCTCCCCCAAAAGCCCAAACATGTCAGGGATGGGCAAGAGTAGAAGCCAGGAGTTGGGAGCTCAGTTGGGGTCTCCCCCACAGGTGACTGGAGCCTTCCCTGCTGCCTCTCCGGGTCTGGTTAGCAGGAAGCTGTAGTCAGGAGTGGGAACGGGGAACTGAACATAGGCACTCTGATGTCACTCAGTGTCTTCACTGCTGGACTACGCACACATCCCTTATTTCCACTTCTTATTTAATAGTGTTCTCCACTAAAACAAAAACAAAAACAAAAACCAGGAATCCTGATTCTATTCAGGGTTATTTTAAATTAAGAAACTCAAAAGCAGCAAAGATGGGCTCGTGTGACAGATCTTAAGGTAGCCCTGGTGATTTCCAGGAACTCCTAATATTCATGCTGTGATAAGTTCTCCTGCTTGAGTGAGTTGGGGCCCATCTAGCTTCTGCACAGTTAGTATGCCTGAGGGGATGGATGATCCGCCTGCCGTAATGTTATATAAGGCTCCTGCTTGTTAGCAGACTGTAGTGCTGTCTGGCTCAGTGAAGGGAAGCACCGGTGTTGGTTAAGTCCCCAAAACTAGGAGATAAAAGGCAACCTCTGGCCAACAGCCAGGCAGCAAGAAGTCAGGGCCCTCCACCCTATCCAGCCAACAGTGTAAGTACTCTCCACAGTCTAAGTGACCCCAGAGGGAGTTTTGTCACTGTGACCACTCCAAACCATCCGAAAGTACAAAAGTTTTCACCTGGTAGCTTGTTTTTCTCCCCTGATAGCTGCTCATGCTTGCAAAGGAAACCAAAGCAGGGAATTGTTTCTGAGGGCCAAACTGCAGGACCAGCCCAACTAGACTGATTCACCCTGTTTTCCCAATCCTCATAAGTCCCTTAGTATAATTCATTTACATGTTAAGACCTCCTCCCTGTGGCAGAGGAGGGGGCAGCTGACAAACCTGCTGCCCAAAGAAGGAGACAAAAAAGGAGTTTGAGCTCCCTAGAAAACACCACCCCTTCCAGAGATAAAGGGTGATGTGGTCCTCACCCCCTCCTCAAAGCCCACAGGTGTGGAGAATGCCAGTCCTCCCTTCTTCATTCCATAACCTTGGAAAATTCTCCATCTGCTGGCTGAATCCTGTCTCACCCGTTGACTTCTGCAGCACCCAGACCAGGGACCCAAGGAGAGGTTGAGAGCAGGGACCTCAGGGACCCAGCCCCAAGAGGACTGGTGACAGTTTCTTCCCTGGTCAGGTGTCCAGATGAGAACACAGAACACAACACCTTCATCGAAGCCTTGTGACACCCGAAGCAGAGGACTCAGTTAACACATTCCTCCGCTGACCCATCCCAAAATGGTCAAAGCATCCATAGTGTGCAACCCCTTCTTTGGTAAATGTTATGTCACATATTCCTGCCCTGTTGTGTTCTGATTTTTCTTTTTCTTACTCTTTTTTAAGCATTTCCCTGTTGCCCTCTTGCATTCTTTTTTTTTTTTTTTAACATTTCTTTATTTGAAAGAGTTACACAGAGAGAGATGAAGCAGAGAGAGAGAGCAAGAGCGCGCGAGAGAAGTCTTCCATCCGCTGGTTCACTCCCCAGTTGGCCGCAACGGCCGGAACTGTGCCGATACTAAGCCAGGAGCCAGAATCTTCTTGCAGGTCTCCCATGCAGGTGCAGGGGCCTAAGGACTTGGGCCATCCTCCACTGCATATAGTAGAGAGCTGGATTGGAAGTGGAGCAGCCAGGACTTGATCCAGTGCCGATGTGGGATGCCAGCACTGCAGGCGGTGGCTTTATCTGCTATGCCACAGCGTTGGCCCCCTGACTTTTCTTTTTCTTATGCCTTCTTATGCATTTCCCTGCCTTGATCACGGCAGATTCTCCATGAGATGGAAGTCTGATAGAATGGTGCCCCACAGAGAAGCAAAGGTCTCGGGCTCCCTGAGACTTCCAGATGTGTTCCTGCTTCAGAGATTGTGGGTTGTGAGGTCCACAGCCTTGCTCCATTCAAGTCCTTGGGGATATTCACTTGACTGAATCTGCTGTGGCTGAACAGGGACACTGTGGAGTCTACCTGTAGCACTCAAGCTGCACAGGAGCAGGTGAAGTGCTAAACCATGTCCAATCCGCTTACCGTCACAAAGCTTCATTGAGGTTCCTAGGGTCTTCCTGTTTTCCTCCACTGGACATCAACTTGTTCCCCCTCCAAGCCTCAACTTTTGGGATTTAGGTACTTGCTTGTCAATTGTGCCTCTACTCTCCGATGCAAATCCACCTGGCTTGCCTCCCTCCCTTCCTCTCTTCCTTCCTCTCCCTCCTTTCCACCTTCTTTCCATCCCTCCCTCCTTCCCTCGTTGTTTCTTTCATTATTAACCCTTGAATAGTCCTCTCCAGTTCTTTCTCCATGTCCCTCATCTTTTTGTTATTTTGCCTTTTTTATTCTATAAGCAACATACAAATATGATGTCATATACTGATGTATGTTGTGTGGCATTCAACTGCATTTGTCAGACAATCAAATAACTTGAAGCTCATCTCTTCATATATGTATAAACATTATGTTTAATGACTGTACAAAATTAGTACATAACAAGATTTCCATCCCCTTAACTATTTAGGTTGTTTCCAGTATTCTGATATGATAAGCCAGTTGTCGTGCCTAACTTCTTGGGCACACATGTGATGACTTCCCTGAAGTATATGTCTAGGAGTAAAGCTTTGATCAGGTCCATTTTCATCTTATTGGCCACTGACTAATTGCTCTCCAGAGTGGCCATGCAGTTCACACTACTGCCCACTGTAAGAGACACACCTTGCTGTACCACCCACTGACACTCTGTCGCACCCAACTCATAGTTCCTATTCTGCTTCTCTCTCATATTCATTTTCTTCTCTTTTTTCTCATCCTTCTCTTCTTCCTGTCTTGGTTTCCCTGGCTCTTTTTTTTTTTTTTTGTAAGATTATTTATTTTTTTGAAAGTCAGAGTTACAGAGAAGCAAAGGCAAAGAGAGAGAGAGGAAATAAAGAGTGGTCTTCCATCTGCTGGTTCTCTCCCCAGATGGCTGCAGTGGCTGGAGCTGTGCTGATCTGAAGCCAGGAGCCAGGAGCTTCTTCCGTGTCTCACACACAGGTGCAGGGGTCCAAGGACTTGGGCCATCTTCTAATGCTTTCCCAGGCCATAGCAGAGAGCTGGATTGGAAACAGAGCAGCTGGGACTTGAACCGGTGCCCAAATGGGATCCTGGCACTGCAGCAGGTGGCTTTACTCCCTATGCCATGGCGCTGGACTCCCCTTAGCTCTTGTTCTCTCTTTCACACATACACACAGGTTCTTTTGCTCTTTTCTTCCTCCTCTTCTGTTTTTTTTTTTTTTAGTTAATAATTTTTAAATTTATAAACTGACTTACATGAAAATATCTGGGTCTGCAAATGTGCATTTACAGAGTAATTGCCAATGCTGCACTGTGTTTTATGTCATCCTCTCCCTGTACTTATTTTATTGGGAGAAAATCCTTGTGACATAAAACGAACTATTTTAAAGTATATAATTCAGTGGCAGTTAGTAATACAAAGTTGTGCAAGCAACACTGCTCTCTAGTTCCAAAATATGTCATCCTCTCCCAAGCAAACCCTGTAGCCATAGGGCCTTCACTCCCCAAGTCCCCCTTCTCCCAGCCCCAGGAGCCACTGATCTGCTTTCACTTTCCATGATTTGCCTGTTTTTGATGTTTCCTATAAATGGAGCCATACAATATGTTACATGGTATATCTGGTCTCTTTCACGTAGAATAATGTTTTTGATATGATTCCATATAGTAGCGTGTTGGAACTTCATTATTTTTGTGCCTGAGTAATATTCCATTGCACAAGTATGCCACAATTTGTTCATTCATTCACTTGTTAATGAACAGTTGGGTAGATCTGCCTTTTGATCATTGTGAATAATGTGTTGTGAATATCTGTGCTTTTCTTTGAATAACAGTTTTCAATTCCTTTGTGTATACAACATGAGAGGATTTTGGGGGTCCTATGGTAATTCTCTGTTTAACTTTTTGAGGACCTGCCAAATTATTTTCAATTGCAGCTATACAATTTTATATCCTTACCAGCAGTGAATAAGAGTTTCCATTTCTCTAC